CAAGGTGGCGATCAACGCAACGTCAATCACCAGGTTGTCAACCAGGTTGATATCAATCAACCCAACTCAACTCAACGGAACCTATTCTTAGTAATCAATCAACTCAACTTCACCACGATATTGAGTTGGTTGCGTTGATAATGGTTGATCAGATGTCGTTGCGAAGGCTGCCGATATCTTGTGCCGGGTAGGGCAGCCCATGGCCAGTGTGGGGGCCCCCGCCTGCAAAATGATACTTGTATTTGCACCTGATTTCACCACAAATGAAGGTACCGAGGTGTCCCGTAAATAGTTCTATGGCTTGACGCGTCAACGCGTTTGACCTGATTCGCGTGCAGGCAAGCTATCGTTCCGACACCAAAGTCAGCTTGGCCCGTCCTCGGTTTGCTGCTCCGGTCCGTCACCTCGCTCAATATGTCCCAAAGTTCAGACTTTGAGGCGACGAACTCCGTATCGCCTTCGCCTTTCATACTGGGTCCCTTGACACCAGCCTCGTCCACACCCGAGCCATCTACGCCGGCTGAGGCTCGCGCCGGTCGACGGGAGGAAGATCGGCTGTTCCGACACTTCCGTGGCTACACGTGGTCCCAACGAAGCAGAAATACAAAATCATGGGTTTGGGAGTATGGCTTCGATATCGAGAAAGGCTCAGATCGGCGATGGGTCTGCAGAGTGTGCATTGAACGGAACCGGCCGAAGCCCGGCAACGTCATTTCCATTGGCACCCAAAACGCCGAGCGGCATCTCTGGGACCACCACAAAATTCTTGATCCTTCCGGAAAACGGTCGGCGCCAGTGTCTCGAAAAAAACCGTCCATGGGATACCAGACGATCACAACTGCCTTCAACCTCAACCCAAGCGTGCCCCGAGAGCAGGCCATTGCGAGCCACATCGTCAAGAACTTTGACAAAAATGTCTTCCAGCGTCTGGTGGTCGAATGGATCGTGGAGGGCAACCTGTCCTTCCGAGAGCCCGAGAATAAGAGGTTGCGGGACATTTTTGAGTACCTGAACCCCTTGGTTGCGAGCGCCGATGCGCATATCAGTCACGATACGGTTCGCAAGCGCGCCATTGCCGAGTTCGAGAAACACAAGGAGAAAGTTATCGAGATATTAAAAAATGCTCCTGGCTTAATACACATTTCTTTCGATGGTTGGAGATCGCGAAATAAGCACTCTCTATATGGTGTTGCATGCTTCTTTCGAGATGAGGATGGCAAGGCATGCAAGCTTATCCTCGGGGTGCCTGAGCTGACAGTTCGACACTTTGGGGCTAATATTGGACACGAAATCATCGAGATGCTCGAGTCCTACGAGATCCCCGACGAGAAGAACGGGTACTTTACACTTGACAACGCACCAAACAATGACACTGCCATGGATACCATTGGGGAGAGATTCACCTTTTGCGGCAGGGGACGACGCGGCCGCTGCTTTGGCCACGTAATCAATCTTGTGGTTAAAGCCATTCTCTTTGGGAAGGATGCCGACGCATTTGAATCCTGTTCGCGAGAAGGAGATGTTTCAGACACGACCGAGCATGAGCTGTGGCGGAGGAAAGGGCCGGTTGGCAAGCTCCATAATCTAGTGGTCGCGATCCACCGATCCGATGTGCTCACCACACTTCTCCGCAGTATCCAACGGCTAGAGTTCGACGAATCTGAGGATCCACGTGTGAGAATCCGGAAGCCTCTGGACGTTGTGGTCGACAACGAAACGCGCTGGTTGTCGCAACTGTATATGATACGACGGGCATTAAGGCTTAGGCCCTATCTAGAGACACTGGTTCTAAAGCATAAACAAGCTTGGGAAAAGGATAACCCATTAAAGCGGTCAAAGCGGCTGAGGACAAGCGCAGTCATGCCTTCCATATGCCGGGAGGAGAATAAACTAGACGACAAGGACTGGGCAGTTCTAGAGGCGTTTGGAAATATCTTGCAGAGCTTTGAGGACGCCGTCAAGGCGCTTGAGGGTGACGGGATCCAACGCAGGCGCAAGCAGGGACACTTCGAGTCCTATGGTAATGTGTGGGATGTGGTCGTGGGATACGAATTCTTGCTGGCAGAATTGGAGAAGGCCAAAGCCAAGGTCCTTCAATATCCTGAGCCTGAGCATTTCAAGGTTAATATTAATCTTGCCTGGAAAAAGCTGGACGAGTACTACAACAAGTTGGACGAGACTGCGATATATTACACGTCATTGGCATTGCACCCGGCTTATCGATGGGGATATTTCGAAACCGTTTGGTCTGGACGACCGGCGTGGGTCGCCAAAGCAAAAGATATAGTGCAGTCTGTTTGGGATAAAGAATACATGACCTTAGATATCTCGTTGGGGGACGAGCCAGCCGCAAAGCGTCCGCGGACACAATACTACTCTCCGTTTGAACGATACAAGGATGAAGCTCGGATACACCGTTGCGAAGAAGAAAGAGACGCGGACAAGGCAGAGGATGAGTATGCTAGGTGGCAACTGGACCTGTTGCCTACGGATAGCGACATCCGTGATCCGCGGGAGTATTGGCATGCTCAGCGGTTCAAGTATCCCAGGCTATCGCGAATGGCAATGGACTTCATGACGGTTCAGGCGATGAGCGCAGAGTGCGAGAGGTTATTCTCGGCGGCAGGTCGCATGGTGACGCCTCTACGGAGTCAGTTAGAGGCAAGCACGATAGCGATTTGCCAGGTGCTGCGTTCATGGCTGCAGGCGGGTATCGTGGAGGAGGTAGATCCAATACTACTGAAGAAGGCCGACGAAACAGTGACCAGACAACCAGTGGATGAAAATGCAGCAGGAGAATGGCTTCGAGATTTGCCAATGCAGATGCGGGAGGAAGAGACAGGGTGGGAGTAGCGTTGCGTTGGCCAGTTGAGTCGGGTTCCCATACTGCGAGTAAGGTACCAGCGCGGGACAAGGGGGGCTTCGTCAACCATCAACGCAACGTCAACCAACCCAACATAGGGCCGAGGTTGATCAACTCAACGGAGGAAAAGCTTATTAAGCAGCCAACTCACTCAGTTAAGGCTGAAGTTGAATGGATTGCGTTGATCGCCACCCTGGTCTCTATGGCGGTGGTATTGAGATATAGTAGTTCGTCCCGCTCTGTTTTCTTTTCTGTAACATAGCTATAGCCCTCTACAATGATGTATTATATACAGAGCAGAATAAGTAATGTGAAGTCAATTGACAAATTAGCCCTGTCTAACTAACAGGAGAAATACCTCCGTCCTTAGCTACATTATGTCATCGTCGGCGCCATGAGAAGACTAGTCTATATATGCTGGAGGACGTACACGTACGTGTCTCTGCACACAACTATATCATAGGGTTCCATTAGCGCCTTAGACGACAAGTTTATTCCTTGGCGTTAGATACACACGTATGTGTCTCCGCTTGATATTAAATGATGGGGTTACATTAGCGCATCGGACGGCTTGTCTAGTTCTTTCCATCAATGATACACGAATGCGTCTGTGCTTGATACTCTATGACGGCCTTCTATAGCGCGTGAGACGAATTCTCTGTGGCTTGCCATAGGATATACACTTATGTGTCCCTACTTGGTACTCTATGACGAGGTTCCATTGGCGCATTAGCTGACTAGTTTATCTCCTGCCGTCCGAGTATTCACATGACCGTATCTGCTCGATAGTCTATGATGAGTTCCAAGAGCGCATTAGACGACTGACCATTTTCACGCAGTCAGATATACACATGACCGTCTCTGATTAATGCTTAGCCTATTGAAAGCAGGCTTCGGAGCGGCATCTCCGTCTAGCTACCGCCACCTTGTAGCCGTGCCATGATCAGGCTCTATACTTCCCATCAAAGCACAAAACAACTTCTGACCATGAAAGCCTAGTCAAAAGTTTTATAGCGGTACTAGCCAGGTTCAGAAAGTGCCTCAATGCTGCCGGAGAGCGTTGCAACGTCCGTTCTTGCGTCGCTGGCAGTGCGCATGCCTCGAAGGCGTGTCTTGCGGCTACTGAAAGTGCTTTATGAGAGTCGAAAGGTTTGTCACAGAGTTGGCAGTAGGTCATTGCTTTAGAATGAATACTACTTTATATGATTCGAATAACAAGTTGAGGGCGCAAAATGAGGGGTAGTTACCCTACTATACATGCAAGCTCAATTGACAATTGCGGCGTTACGCCGAGCAGCATCAAAAACGCCACAGCACCGAATCAAGGCGGTTGCCAGCTGGTCAGTTAAGCTCTTGTCAGATTGTGGTTATTGCCTGCTTTATGTCGGTTTGCGTGTCGCTGATCCTGTCCCGCAGATGCAGTTGCGATTTCTCTACAGCCTGCCTGCATGCGGCGATAGTGTCTTTGATCGTAAGTAGGCTCTGGTGGCACGCGTCAAGATCAGTGGCGACGGCGTTAAGGACGCTTCACGACACGAGTAAGCGATGCCGTCATTTAGTGGAGCTACATCACAATGCGCAATGAGGTTGTTCTCTTCCTGGTAAATGCGGTCGTGCAGCGCGGCTGCGGCAGCCGCATTCAGATCAAAGTGCTCCATCATTTCAGCCTTCAGCACCCCGAATTCACGTCGCCGCGAAGAAACCGAACCGCGACGTTTTTCAGCGTGCTGTGACCGTCCTCCACAGCGAAACTGTACTCGCCGATATTGATGTCACTACTAGTTTCGTGAGAATGCATTCATTGGCTGAGTATCGGCGATGACATCATAGTAGTGTCGCTGAGCTGTGAGAGTACGCAAGGCAATAAAGACGACAAAACGAGATAGAGAAAACAAGTTGGCATTTGTAAGTAGCTATGCAAATGTGAGCCGAAACGGTGGAAAGAGCTCATCAATCAGAAAGTCCCAAGGTATTTTGATGACCGTCCTCGGGGCTCGAGCTTGCACACACTTGACCCCCTCACGTCGATAGTTGACGTCTCGGTGGGTTGCTTCTTAAGGGTGTAGCGGGCGCATCGGCGAAACCCAAATTGTAGACGGGCTACCCCTTGATGGGAAAGGCACTGGCTTGTCAACGAATTTGATAGCCCAGTGGCCATCGATCTCGATATTCAGGGACCCATCTCCATCTGAAGTCATTATTTGGATGTTTGCATATGATAACAGAAGTCGTGGTTTT